GCGTCGGCTGGCTGCGAGTCTCACCTACCCCCAGTGCAAGATCTCGCCCTGCGGGATGGAGCCCGCCTGCCCGTCTGTCCAGATCTGCCCGCGCTGTTTGCGATACTCCGCCAACTGGGCGCGGCGCAGCAGCAGCTCGATGCCGCGGTGCGTTCCTCTGCCCCCCATGGCTGTCTCGTGGTCTGACGCGCCAGGGTCAGCGAAAGACAAACTACGCGTCGATTTCCACCGACAGCGTCGGGCACGAGGACACGAGGATGACTGCTGGTCAGCAGCATGCTGCGCAATCGCCACTTGGATGTTCTTGGCCGCGTCAGAGACCGCGAACCCCAACTGGTCTCAGACGTCAGATCCGCGGCAATCTTGTACTCCTTGAAGCGCTTTCCGGCGCGGTCCCGAGCGATGCCCAGATTGCGAGCGTCGAGGTCCACGTCTTCGCCGCCATCCTCGCCCGTGGGCTCGCTCCGATCGGCGCCCGAGAGGAGCTTCGCAACGCCGCCCTGCAACGGCGCGCCGCCGTCGCCGCCCCAGGCCCATCCATCTCCCTTAGGCGCGTCAAGCGGCTGCGCCGCGACACTGCTGAGGTCGCGTCGCATCTGGATCGGAGCTGGGGCCCTGCCTGAGCCGAACCAACTTAAAGTCGCAACCGACCTTGAGCGCAGTGGCCTCCTCGACTGAGACCGCCGTCGGCCCTGCGGAGAGCGCGGCCCCCGCTGGGGCTGCGGCGGCGCCTCCGGCGTCGTCCCTGCCGCGAACCTCAACGAGAGCTCCTCTGTGATCGTCCACGTCGTCGCTGATGTCTGGAATTCTCCGACGAAGATTTTGAGCCTGACATGGTGCTCGCGCTCGTTCGTACTGGGCGGGCCTGATCATCTGTCCGATTTTGAAGACCTGGCCCCAATGCGACTGCGCCCCCAATCACTGGTCGGGGGCCGCGTCTCCCTCGAAATCGCGCGGCGCGAGCCCGATCAGCGGCGGGCAGCTCAGCCCCTTCTGGGTGGATCCCCCAGTAAGTGTCACGACCCAGCACATCTCGTCGTCGGCCACTTTGGGAGCTTCGCACATGATCAGTGTCCAGGTCGCGCCGTCGCAGCTGTCGACGATGAGTCTCTTGTGCCAAGTCCTGCGACCTTTAGTCGTGTAGCGAGCTATGACCATTTGCGCTGGGTTCAAGAAGCGGTTCGCCAGCGACGGCATGGCGGCACCAGTAGAAGCTGTTGATGCAGGCGCTGGCCAAGAGACCGACGGCGAACGTGAAGAGGCTGAAGCGTACGGTGATCCAAAATATAAGCTCTGGGCAGCACAGGTTAGCGCGGATGATGCCAATGGGGCTGAGGGTCGGCCACGCGAGCCTCGCAGCCTCCCAGACTGCACGAGGCAGCGCACAACATGCACCTAAGGCGTCGCTGCCCCGAAAAGACTTGAGCATACAATGCGGCCAATACCGAGAGAGAAAGGCGTTCATACGACTGCAGCATCCAAGGCGAGAGTGGACGTTACTTCTGGTAAACCTGTTCTATGGTATGTAATATGTAGCTGTCTCTTGTATTTATGGTACGACATCGCACCTGTAGCATCTAATGGGGAACCCCACGGGTCATATAATCCTGACAAGTATAAGGTTTGTAAAGTGCTTGACGGCCCGGGCACCCAGTTTCACAGGCGCCCTCGAGCGCTACTGGGGGCTACTGGGCTGTGTCGCATGGGCCTCCGGGCTGTGATCCAACCCAAAAGGGCCCCAAAACGGAAGAAGGGGGCCCCAGAAAACTCCCACTAGAGTCCAATAGGCCTCCGGGGCGGCCCAAGAAGCTTTCAAAGACGCCCAACATGGCCTTAAGACAGCGAGACGCCCCAAGAGCTTTCACAAGAAGGACCCTATAGTCCAAACTCTTTGATGCTCCTTTGGTTGTTCATTTTGTTTTGAGACCTTCACTCTTCTACCGACGCTGCAAGACGTCCCAAGAGGCCCCCAAGACCGCCCCGAAACGGCCGCAGAAGCCCTCAAGAGGGCCCCAAGACGGCCCAAGAGGGCCACAAGACGGCCCAAGAGGCGCCTCAGACGGCCCAAGAGGGCCCGAGGACAGCCCCGCCCCAAGAGGGGAGCACGAACCGAAACTCCGAGCCATCCGCCCCAAGAGGCGCCAAGAAGGCCTTGAAGAGGCCTCGTGAGGCCAACAAGACGCCCCCACGAGGCCCATGATGCCCCCAAGAAGCCTAACATAACATTCACAAGGTCCCGAGACCGCTCCCCAGAGGCTTCAAAACTGATTCCAGGAAGCCCCCACGATGTCTCGACGAGATCCCAACGACCATCCAAAAGGCCTCAGACACACAACCCAGGCACGGTGGCGAGATGGACCGAAGGTCATCATATATATATATATATATATAAATGTGTGTATATATATATATATATATGTATATATAGTCCAAGGTTGCCACGAACACCCCCAAAAAGCATGTGAGATCGAGCCCCTCCGCCCCACCAGCTGGATGGGTACGCCCGTGAGCCTCGCAATGGCCTCGCAAGTGGGATCGCTCCCTCCCCCCCAGGATGCCCGTACACCTCCCCTCGTCGTCGTCGTCGCGGTCGTCGTCGTCGTCGTCGTCGTCGTCGTCGTCGTCGTCGTCGTCGTCATCGTCGTCGTCGTTGTCCGTCGTCCGTCGTCCGTCGACGTCGGCGTCCCCCCTCATCCCATCTGGGTGTGTGAATGTGTGTGTGTGTGACAACGTGGGGCCTATCCCATCAGGGGGGGAGTGTGAACCCTCGACCTGGGTTCATATTTAGCGCTGTTCTTGCGCATATGTCTTTTTAACTTGGCCAGCAAACTGCTGTCGAATGGGTACGCTCTGGACTCCGCTTCTAGTCGGCCTCTCCTCTCTCGTGCAATGCGTAGCCCAAGACTCCACTTGAACGACGATCAAAAACGGATCTCACGCGAGATGACATAGCGCCCTTGGGCGGTGGCTCACGCGGGTCGCCGGCGCGGCACGCTACACTGGGTACGAGGGCGCTTACGCGCGCGACCTTACGCAGGCAGCTTACGCACGAATATCGGCGCAATTGAACCCGTCTCTTGCCTTAGGTCGGGCACGTCCTCCCACAGGCGGATTTCGGAGGGAAAACAACAAATCATCAAACCGTACTCCAAGAATGGTCAACTATAAGCAAAACAAATCGTCCCTAGACTTTTGTAATACCATTTTCGAGGGACGCTCCCGACTTGATTCTTGGCGTCGCCCTCGCCAAAAGCGCCGTGCGCGCGCGCCTGCCTCCACGGCGCGGCAGGGCGGCGGTGCGGCGGGGCGGCGGGCTGCCGCGCTGCGTGGCGACCCAGACTCCAAGAGGCCCGCGCGCTCTCCCGCACCTCCTCCTCCTCCTCCTCCTCCTCCTCCTCCTCCTCCTCCTCCTCCTCCTCCCCCTCCTCCTCCTCCTCCTCCTCCTCCCCCTCCTCCTCCTCCTCCTTCTCCTCCTCCTCCTCTTCTCCTCCCCCCCGCGCTCTCCCGCACTCCTCCTCCTCCTCTTCTTCCTCCTCTTCTTGCACCTCCTCCCTCGACCTCCTCCTCCTCCTCCTCTCCTCTCCTCTCTCCTCCTCCCTCCTCCTCCCCTCCTCCTCTTCCTCCTCTTCTTTCACCTCCTCCCCTGCCTCCTCCTCCTCCTCCTCCTCTCCTCCTCCTCCTCTCCTCCTCCTCCCCTCCTCCTCCCCCTCCCCTCCTCCTCCTCTCCCTCCTCCCTCCCTCCTTCTCCTCCTCCTCCTCCTCCTCCTCCTCTCTCCTCCTCCTCCTCCTCCTCTCCTCATTCCCCCGCGCGCTCTCCCGCACCTCCTCCCCTCCCCCTTCCTCCTCCTCCTCCTCCTCCTCCTCCTCCTCTTCCTCCTCTTCTTTCACCTCCTCCCCCCTTCCTCCTCCTCCTCCTCCTCGTCCCCCTCCTCCTCCTCCTGCTGCTCCTCCTCCTCCTGCTGCTCCTCCTCCTCCTCATTCTCCTCCTCTCGGCTGCATTGACAAGCGTACCTAGGCCATAATCATATCCTTCAAGAACTTGAGCAGGGACCGACGGTCCTGGCATTCCCATAAGCCTACCGCGACATGTTCTCAGACCGCAAAAATGCTCTAAGAGCAAAAGCAATGCGCTTAGAACACAAACCCGATGTGCTGAAACCCGACGGTCACAGCCATACATGTTCGAATCACATTTAGTGCAGACCACAGACGGTTCTCAGAACATTAATTGGTGGGCCTATAGGCGAGCCAGGACGCTTCGCCACTGCTTGAAGAACATGAGACCCTCCACCAGCCAGAGCACCCATAAACCCTAAGATCGTTCGAGGGTGCCCTCCCCCAAGATGCGCAAGAGCATGCAACAAACACGAAGAACACTAGTCGGGGATGGACAAACCTCCCTTTAGTAAAACGTGGTTTAGTGAAAACGACTTCGGGCCCAAACCAGGCGGGCGCAAGCCTGAAAAATAACGGCCACGGCGCCCTCTCGAAAACCGAAAGCGGACAATTCACTAATCGACGTGTCACTGTTGGGGGTTCTGTCCACCCCCGAATTAGGGTACCCTCCCCGAATCGACCTCGATCTTACACTTCGGTCCGACTGGCAAGAGCGACCTCTCGTGCTCGACTTTCGGGGGCTGCGGGGAGGCCGAACCGGAGCGCGCAGGCCGCTGCTGTCGCATCACATCCAGCCATCTGGATCCCCCGGTGTGCGAGCAACTAAGCACGCTCAGGCGAGAGGCCACTCTTACGTATGACGATCCTCCTCTCGGGGATGGACAGACCTCCCTTTAGTAAAACGTGGTTTAGTGAAAACGACCGGAGACCCAAACTTGGCGGGCGCAAGCCTGGAAAATAACGGCCACGGCGCCCTCTCGAGAACCGAAAACGGACAATTCACTAATCGACGTGTCACCGTTGGGGGTTCTGTCCACCCCCGATCCTCCTCCTCCTCCTCCTTGCCCTCCGGGGGTCGTGTGCAGGGAAGGCGTCCAGAGCGCCTGGTTGCACCAATTCGCGGGGATCGCCTTCTTGTGCGGCATGTTCGACTGCATGCCCGTCAACCGGCCTCGAGGGCGCCGCTCCGCCCACCCGCCTCCGCAAGAGGTGCAAGGGGGTCCCCGTCCAGCTCCACCTCCATTCCTTATCCGTATAGGTACCTCCTCCCTGTCGCACCCCAGGGCAAGTCGAAAGGGCGGGCCGGGCGTTTCGCCTGACGCCCTCACAAATCATTATCATGAAAATTGGAATTGGCAACAATTTCCCCGATGGAGGGTACTCCGCTTCCAAAATGTGGTCCTCGCTTGAGCGTCACGAACATTCGTTAAACAAAAATTGCAGGAGCTTCGCGGCTGGAGGGCGGTCCCTTTTCAGAATGTGGCTCTTGCCTTAGCGCCGCGCGCATTCGTCTTAAAAACTTGCGGGGGCTTCACGGATGGAGGGCGGATGCTTTTCAAAATGTGGCTCCCGCCTGAGCGGCGCGTACGTCAATCTAGAGTTTGCAAGAGTTCCACGAATGGAGAGCCGTTCACTTTCAAAATGTGGCTCTCACTTACGCGGCGCGCGCACTCATGTTAAACGCTTGCAAGAGCTTCACGGATGGATGGCGGCTTCTTTTCAAAATGTGTCTCTCTCCTTAGCGCCGCGCACATGTGTCTTAAGAGCTTGAAATCATTTACAGGGTGTGCACGGTTCACGTCCCAGAAATGGTGTTGTGGCACGATGTCGGAAGATCAAGGGGCAACAGTCGAACGCGCCTGACGATTCTAGATCGACTACGTGTGCCTACCAGCTCTGTAGCTATCCTACAGCTCGAGTTAAGTTGAGAAAACCGACAGCATCTGTCAAGATGACGCGAAACAGCCGATCCCGCCCAAGTGCTTTTTGGCAGTAATATGTACCCGATCGAACTCATATTAAGATGGCGAGCGGGAATAAGATCGAAGATGGGGGGGAATTTCGAGAAATCGAATTCAAACCGAGCGAAATTATGCAAAACTTCCGTCGATTCGCGGAGTGGAAGTCCCGAGAATCATGTTCTGGTGCGGTTCAAAACCGTCGAGACGCAACAGCAACGGCGACTCGCAGCGTTGCAGTCCCGAGCACGGTGTGTTGGCGCAAAGTTCAACCGGTTGCCTTCCGAAGGTTAACGGGCGAAGAACGGTCCGACAGCGAAAAAGTTTATTTTATACCGTTTTTCGCCCGTTAAGAAAGAACATTTCCCTCAGAAAAAGAATCCGTGCCGGAGCCTATGAAACGGGAACTTGGAAGGCAGGCTTATTGCAACATCGTCGACGGGTCCCGGGTCTGCACTGGTCCTCCTCCTCGTCCTCCTGCTCCTCCTGCTCCTCCTGCTCCTCCTCCTCCCCCCTCCTCGTGGTGCTCATCCCCTCCGCCTCCTCCTCTCCGGGGAGGGGCAGGCTCAGGGGTCTCCTCCCGATCCTCTTCCGACCTGCGCTGCTGTTGAGTCGGGCCTGTCCCCCTACAGGCGGATTCTGGACGAAACATAAAAAATAGTCAAGGCATACTCCCAAATCGGCAAACACGGTCAAGCAAATCGTCACCAGACTGTTTTTGTAAGTATTTTTGAATATCCCCCCTGTAGAGGGACAGGCCCGACTTAACGCTACTGCTCTTCTTCCTGTTCCCTCTGCTCCCGTCGCGAAGGAGGATCAGCTCAGTGGGCTCCTCCTTCCCTTTCTCCCTGTGCTGCTCCTCTAGCCCCTCTCCCCAGAACGGACCACCTCATCGGGTTCCTCCTGCCCATCCGCTTGGCGAGCGGTGGGACATAACAAGGGAGCGAGGAGACACAGAACAGTGCTTGCGAACTAGACTGCCAGCAGCTACTAGCTGCCAGCGTACGTCAAGGATCGCCCGCGCGTTCCGCCGGCTGGGCCAAGCGCGCTGCGGCGGGCGTGAGACGCTGTCGTCGTCTTCGTTTTCGTCATCGTCGTCGCCAGCCCCGAGAACGTCGAGAAACGAACCGCGAGGCGACGCGTCGTAGACAAATCGGACGGGCGGCGCGGGAGGCCTGCGACCCACATCATCGCCAGGGGGACGTTGGTTCCTGGGCTACAGGCGGCAGGGGAAGAGGGAAGGATGGATCGCACGCCACTGAGGGAGAGTAAATTGTGCGTACATATATAAATCTGTCTAGACATCAATCGGAGGCGAGGGGGGGAGGTCGCAGTCAAACAGAGAGCCCCCACCGGGAAGTCGGTTTCGGTTTCGTGTTCGTGTCGTGCGTGCGAGGCGAAGCTTCGTAGGCGGGTGAGAGGGATGAACCCTCCTCTGGTGAGGGCGCCGCGGGGCCAAAAGAGCGTCTCTTCCCGGTTGTCCGGCGGTTTGTCCCGCGGGTGTCCCGTAGTGAGATCGATAGTGAGGTCGATCGTCAGACTGGTAGTGAGGTCGATAATGAGACCGATCGTGAGATCGATAGTGTGGCCGATAGTGAAATCAATAGTGAGATCACGGCGGAGGTGAAAATTATGCGGTGTAAACTATGTGGTGGAAACTTTAGTGGGCTACAGAAGTGGAAGCTGTGCAGAGAAAGCTATGTGGTGTAAGCCATGCCGTGAAACTCATGCGGTGTGAGCCAGAGGTGCAAGCTATGGAGCGCAAGCTCTGTGGTGTAAGCCATGCTGTGCAAACTGTGCAGTGCAAGCTGCGTGAGGCGCCCGGGAAACGGCACGGGCGGCAGCGTGGCGCATCCCCAGCACACACACACACACACACACACACACACACACACACACACGCGGCGCGGCTGGCCTCTGCGGACAGGCTCACAGCTGAATCAGCGTCGAGAGCCACTACACCCTGCGAAATGCTTAAGAAATCATGGGTTAAGAAACTCAGAGTCTCAGAATTTGAACAAAAACGCAGAATTTCGATTGAAATCTTAGGATTTACATTGAAACATTAAGAATCATCGAGACTCTGGCCAAAAACTCAGGTTTTCTCAAGCATCGCCTAGGGTGTACAAAACGCCTCCCCTCCCCAGCCCGCCCCCTTCCTCCCCGAGTCCCCCTCTCCCGCGACGGGGCGCCAGCCCGCCCTCATGCCCTGCCCCCTGGCCTCACTCTCCCCCCCCCCCCCCCGAAGTGCTGCCGCCCGTGGTGCCCGTCCTTCCTCCTTCTTCGTCGTTCGCGTCGTCGCCGTCCTCCCTCCTCCCTCCTCCCTCCTCCCTCCTCCCTCCTCCTCCGAGCGCTGGGCTCCCACCGGGCGGCACGGGCGGCAGCGCGGCACAGCCCCGGCGCACGCCCCCCAAAAAGCGGACGGAGGGGGGGCGCCCACGAGGCGGCCACGCGGCGCAACCTCGGCAGCATCCCCGAGCGCAGGTCGCCGAGGCGCCCTCGTGGCGAGAACCCAGGGAGCACCTGTCCAATTTCGGGAGCGACGGCGGGGGCGAATGGCCCAGGGGAGAGCGATGCGTGCATCCGGGGGCGCCGATGGTCCATGCTTTCGGCGAGGCTCCCGGGGCGAATGCGTGCAATGCCCGCCCCTGTGCTATTCGCCCCTGATCGTCGCCTCCGACACTTGCTTGAATACAGTGGGCCCTTCCACAAGAAACCTTCCACAAGAAACCCAACCCTGGGACCCCAGGACGTCCATCCATGTTTGGCGTGGGGACGTTGCGCTGTCCGTCGCAAACCCATAGCAACCCAAGAAACCCAGGGCGCCCTGGAGGCAAGCAGGGTGTTTCTTGGCATGGGCATCCACTGTAATGTCAGGGGGACGTAAGACCCGGGTACAGGGGACTCGGAAATCCCCGACGAGGTCGTCAAACAAATGACGAGGCCGAGCCTGCATTTTGACGAGGCCTCCCGCTGCAGACATCCCACGAAACTCCTCCTCGTCAAAATCCGAGGCGCGGTCGTCAAAAAACGATGGCGAACCCGAGTCCTGGCAAACCCGGGTCTTACGCTCCCCCGATAATGGGAGCCTCGCTTGACCCGCACGAGCCGGCCACGGGCGGCAGCGTGGCGAAACCTCGCCAGGCCCACCCAGCGCACGGGGCGGCCACGAGGCGGTCACGGGCGGCGCCGACGTTGCTCGCGGGGTCTCGGCTCTCCTCGACGCCTCGGAGGCTTTCGAACCTGGCCTTCGGTCGGGCGCGTCACAGGCAGATTTCCCGGGGACAACGAACAAATAGTCAAAAAACATGCCCCCCCCAAAAAGGCAACAATGATCGAAGCATCGTCCCGTGACTATTTGAGACTGTTTCCGAAATTATCCTCCTGTAGAGGGACACGCCCGACTGCCACCTGGCTTCAGGCCGCTCGCTCATCTCGTCCTGATCGGCGGTTCGAAGGTGGCCGCCCTGAGGGACGGGGCCCTAAGGACAGAAGCGGATCAGGAGCTGCGGCTTCCCCGCTCGGGCTCCCCGTGCCCCAGGGCCCCATCCCTCAGGGCCCCATCTTTGATCAGCCACTTGATCTCACCTCCTCCTCCTCCTCCTCCTCCTCCTCCTCCTCCTCCTCCTCCTCCTCCTCCTCCTCCTCCTCCTCCCCCTGATCCCCATGTCCTGCTCGTCCACCTCCGCCTCCTGCTCCTTCCTAGAAGAAACAAGAACGGCTTCAACATACTTTCTTTGAGCTCCGCCCCAATTTCTGGGGTTGGCGCTCCTCCCCGGCGCGCTGAGCGCGCCAATGGCGGCGGAGGGGGCGCCGCCGGCGGGGGCCCAGAACCGATCTACGAAATCCGCGCGGAGCTCCGAAAGATTATGTTTGCGCCATCTGTTCTTGTTCGATCCTCCCCGCAGCCCCGCGCTGCTGTGTGGCTCCGTGTTCTCCGGCCATCTTCGCCTGCTCCTCGTCCCCTCCTGCTCCTGCCCCTCCTCCTCTTCCTCATGTCCTTCTTATTCCCCTCCGCCTCCTGAGCCTATCCCTGTGCCTGGCGGTCGTCGGGCTAGAACTCGGCTATCCGGCGGCCGTTCGGGACGATTCTGGCACCCCCGGAACGCCCTCGGCGAGGCGCAGCCGCTGGAACGCACCCCGAGGAAGGGAAACCTCCAGAAGACCGTCGAGCCTCGAACTTGCCCATCCCCCGGCCCCGCGCTGCTGCGGCTCCATTTTCCCCGACCATTTTCACCCACTTCCCGTTGTCGATCCAGATGTTGTTGTCGAGATCCTGGGTGTGTGTGTGTGTGTGTGGGGGGGGCGCCCTCGGCGGCCGAGGCTTGAGCGCCAACGGGCGGGGGGGAGGTGGTGGCGACTCGCCATCGCTCGGACTTCCCTTCTCCATGCATTGTTCGGCCTCGTGTCCTCGCCGAGAAACGAAGCACACGTCTGAGCGATGCCAAGGCGACGACCCCTGCGACGGACGACGAGGACGACGACGCGTGTGGCAGGAGGCAGCTGGCACTAGACTCGCAGACGAGGGAGAGGCGGAGACGCAACCCCATTGAACTCCAGCGAGGAAGCGAGGGAGCCACGAGTGAGATAAGAGAAGCGCGGCATCCCCTCAGCGGCGATAGGCGTCACCGCTTGGGGGGGGGCCCTGTGCGTGGGCGACACTCGGTCTTGACATACGTGAAGGCCGAAGGACGATGCATCACCGATGTATCCGCGACGTCGGCGATGCATCGGCGGCGTCGGCGTGAAGAGAATCGGGCTCCACATCGTGCCGCATCGCCGCTCCGACCCCGTCTATTCCGACCACATCTGATCGGGGATCTACTGGCCCCGCTCAATCCAGACCTTGGCCAGTCGGCTCTGCAGCATCCTCCAATATCCTGCAGGATCCTGCACCCTAACCAAGATCAGTGCGCCCCTGGCCCCGCAGGATCCTGCAAGATCCGGCGCCCTGGCTGACCCCCGTTTGCGTTGAACCCCGTGTCTTGAGCACAGGATGCACCAAACAATTCAGCAAGCACGAACGACATTGGGTCACGGCCGCGTGGCGCTGGCGGCGGGCCGCGGGGGGAGGGGGAGGAGGGGGAGGGTGCAGGGGAAATGTGGGACGATTTGAGCGTTTTGCAGTTTTCTTGCCTCTCTCGTTTTTTTTTTGTTCTCTCTCTCTCTCTCTCTTTTTCTTCAGTTTTTGTTCCCCAATCAGAGCTTGCCTCCGTAGGGGTTCTACCGGATTCGTATGGTTAATCTAGGTTTGCCGCCGATTTTCGCCACACGCCCGGGTGCCCGGGTGCCCGGGGGTGCCCGGGGGTGAGGTTGGCCGCCGATTTCCGCTGCACGCCCGGGTGCCCGGGGGGTGCCCAAGGTGCCCGGGTGCCCAGGTGCCCGAAGTGCCCGGGTGCCTGGGCGTGCCCGGGGGTGCCCAGGGGTACCCGGGGGTGCCCTATAGCCCAATAGCCCTACAACTCTATAGTCCTATAGCTCTATAGCCCTATAGCTCAATAGCCCTATAACCCTGATTGTTTTTTTTTCTCCGGTGTCATTTTCTTTCTCTCTCTCTCTCTCTCTCTTTCTTTTTCCCCACATCCTGAGTGGGGTTCTTGTTTTCCCAGAACACCCTCTCCTTCCCACCCACCTCCCGCTCCATCTTCCATACAGCACAATATTATTCCTACCACACACACCATACCATACCATAGTTCCTACCACACATACCATACCATACCCATACCATACCACACCATACGTACCATACCGTACCATACCATACCATGGCGTACCATAGCATACCATACCATATCACACCAATGCCACACCGTACCATACCATACCATACCTCCAGTACCATACCATACCATATCATACCATACCGTACCATACCATACCTACCATACCATTCCATACCACTCCATACCGAAAACCATACTACTTACATGGTTTCGTGCCCCTCCCACCCCTCCAGGGAGGCCCCGCCTGAGCGAGGAGGGTATCGGAATACCATACTATTTACATGGTTTCGTGCCCCTCCCACCCCTCCAGGGAGGCCCCGCCTGAGCGAGGAGGGTATCGGAAAACCATACTATTTACATGGTTTCGTGCCCCTCCCACCCCTCCAGGGAGGCCCCGCCTGAGCGAGGAGGGTATCGGAAAACCATACTATTTACATGGTTTCGTGCCCCTCCCACCCCTCCAGGGAGGCCCCGCCTGAGCGAGGAGGGTATCGGAAAACCATACTATTTACATGGTTTCGTGCCCCTCCCACCCCTCCAGGGAGGCCCCGCCTGAGCGAGGAGGGTATCGGAATACCATACTATTTACATGGTTTCGTGCCCCTCCCACCCCTCCAGGGAGGCCCCGCCTGAGCGAGGAGGGTATCGGAATACCATACTATTTACATGGTTTCGTGCCCCTCCCACCCCTCCAGGGAGGCCCCGCCTGAGCGAGGAGGGTATCGGAAAACCATACTATTTACATGGTTTCGTGCCCCTCCCACCCCTCCAGGGAGGCCCCGCCTGAGCGAGGAGGGTATCGGAATACCATACTATTTACATGGTTTCGTGCCCCTCCCACCCCTCCAGGGAGGCCCCGCCTGAGCGAGGAGGGTATCGGAATACCATACTATTTACATGGTTTCGTGCCCCTCCCACCCCTCCAGGGAGGCCCCGCCTGAGCGAGGAGGGTATCGGAAATACCATACTATTTACATGGTTTCGTGCCCCTCCCACCCCTCCAGGGAGGCCCCGCCTGAGCGAGGAGGGTATCCGAAAACCATACTATTTACATGGTTTCGTGCCCCTCCCACCCCTCCAGGGAGGCCCCGCCTGAGCGAGGAGGGTATCCGAAAACCATACTATTTACATGGTTTCGTGCCCCTCCCACCTCTCCAGGGAGGCCCCGCCTGAGCGAGGAGGGTATCCGAAACCATACTATTTACATGGTTTCGTGCCCCTCCCACCCCTGCAGGGAGGCCCCGCCTGAGCGAGGAGGGTATCAGAAAACCATACTATTTACATGGTTTCGTGCCCCATCCCACCTCTCCAGGGAAGCAAAACCATACTATTTAAATGGTTTCGTGCCCCTCCCACCCCTGCAGGGAGGCCCCGCCTGAGCAAGGAGGGTATCCGAAAACCGTGCTATTTACATGGTTTCGTGCCCCTCCCACCCCTCCAGGGAGGCCCCGCCTGAGCGAGGAGGGTATCGGAAAACCATACTATTTACATGGTTTCGTGCTCCCACCCCTGCAGGGAGGCCCCGCCTGAGCGAGGAGGGTATCCGAAAACCATACTATTTACATGGTTTCGTGCCCCTCCCACCCCTCCAGGGAGGCCCCGCCTGAGCGAGGAGGGTATCGGAAAACCATAGTATTTACATGGTTTCGTGCCCCTCCCACCCCTGCAGGGAGGCCCCGCCTGAGCGAGGAGGGTATCCGAAAACCGTGCTATTTACATGGTTATCGGAAAACCATACTATTTACATGGTTTCGTGCCCCTCCCACCCCTCCAGGGAGGCCCCGCCTGAGCGAGGAGGTATCGGAAAACCATACTATTTACATGGTTTCGTGCCCCTCCCACCCTCCAGGGAGGCCCCGCCTGAGCGAGGAGGGTATCGGAAAACCATACTATTTACATGGTTTCGTGCCCCTCCCACCCCTCCAGGGAGGCCCCGCCTGAGCGAGGAGGGTATCCGAAAACCATACTATTTACATGGTTTCGTGCCCCTCCCACCTCTCCAGGGAGGCCCCGCCTGAGCGAGGAGGGTATCCGAAAACCATACTATTTACATGGTTTCGTGCCCCTCCCACCCCTGCAGGGAGGCCCCGCCTGAGCAAGGAGGGTATCCGAAAACCGTGCTATTTACATGGTTTCGTGCCCCTCCCACCTCTCCAGGGAGGCCCCGCCTGAGCGAGGAGGGTATCCGAAACCCAAACTATTTACATGGTTCCGTGCTCCTCCCACCCCTCCAGGGAGGCCCCGTCTGAGCGAGGAGGGTATCGGAAACTTATATTATTTAAATGGTTTCGTGCCCCTCCCATCCCTGCAAGGAGGCCCCGCCTGAGCGAGGAGGGTATCGGAAACCCATACTATTTACATGGTTTCGTGCCCTTCCCACCTCCCCAGGGAGGCCCCACCTCTTCAGCTTCGTCTTCGTGTTGATGTTGTCGTACCCCATGGGTCCCAGGAGACCGTTAATATTTTTATGCGGGGAACTCCGTTAGCATAATTTCTCTTTCTGGATGGGCCCATTTCCAACATAATCCTACAACGTGTGCGTCAACCACTGAAAGATTCCTATTAAGGGTAAGGCCATCCGTGCTAGAAACTGACAACATATTCACCTCCAAGGACATCCGATCAGAGATGGATCCGCCTCTACTGGGATCCAGTTAGGGAAGGAGCCACCTGAAATATAATCCGATTAGAGGGTGCCCCACCTTTCATATAATCCCTATTGGAGTGGATCTGCCAGTCATATAACCCCATCAGGGACGGAGCCACCTCGAATAAGACCATGTGAGGTTCAGATCCCGCTTCAATGAAATCCGAGTCGGGATGGGACCACCTCGAATAGTCCGATCATGGACTTCAACCACCTCCGTAGGATCATTTGAAAATTGCATTCGATACACCTTTTAATAAAACGCCCGTAGAGGTGGAGCGACCTCCAACTAAATCCTATCAAGGATGGGCCAACTGAAGGATGGATCCACCTCTGATTGAATCCCATCGCATCCTGTGGGAATCCACCTGTGGGGATGAGACAACCTCTCATCGTATCCTGTTGCGAATGAAGCCACCTCTAATGTAATCCCACTGGCGATTTTGCTCGTTCTAAGGGATTGAACAACCTCTGGCAACGTCCTCATCAAGATGGGCCGCCGTATTTAAAACCTATCGTATTGGGCATGACACCACCTCGGATGAAATCCGGTCAATGACAGACGCACTTGTAATCTTATACGATACGAGCGGCCTCACCTGTAACAGAATCCTCGCACGGTTGGACACCTGCCATGGAATCAGCTCAGGGATGGAGACACCTCTCGTGTTACCCGATGAGTGAAGGCCTTTTTCTAATATAATTGTATTGGATGTGGTCCACCTCTAACATGGTCTTTGTGAAAATATTCAATCCTTAAAAAACACACGGCCAATGAAGGGCTCACATGTTTTAGAATCCTAGCAGCGATGGGTCCACCTGAATAAGAATCCTGTTAAGGATGGGGCCACGTGCACAAACAAACGTCACCTCTACTGGACTCTCATTAAAAGCGGACCCACT